CAAATTAGTTGAAGCCAATCCTAGGATAGGTCATGCTTTTCCCAACGTCATTAAAATGGCGGAACATGGTGATCGAATCCGTAAAATCCATTCCCTTCGTGCAAAGCCCAACACTGTTAAACCAGTGGGGACCTTGCGCAAAGTGAATCCAACTAATACAAATCCATACGCTACTTGACTAGCAGGATCCCTGTATAATGTTTACAATCTGTCATCAGTCCGAGACTATTATCGAGAAATTTGTATCGACATGTCTATAAACTCTGTCACAGACATTTTAGAAGCTGAAACTTGCACTTCACCCGAATTTTTTAAGGAAAACCCTGAAAACGTCCGTGTTTTCAAGGATCATAACGGTACACAAGTAGATATTAACAAATCATTATCGAGTCATGCTTATGAGGAAACTCTTAAAATTTTTGAATCATGTAGAGATGTTTTTGCCTCCAACATCATTGAAATTCAAAAAGCGCGAATTTTGCCTGCGGTCATTCAGCTTACTGATGAGGAACCTGTAAATGACCCACCTTACAACCTACCCTCAACTGAGAGAAAACAGCTTAAAGATATCATAGATGATCACAAATCAGCTGACATAGTGTCAGACACCATGTCACCTTATGCCTCTCCAGCGTTTTTAGTAAAGAAAAGGTCTGACGTTCCAAATTCCCAGTTGAATGCCAAAGATAAACGCCTTGTAGTCAATTACAAAAAATTAAATCTGAAAGTTATGCCAGATAGATATCCTCTGCCACGTATAGATAACATCTTAACTGAACTAAGAGGAAAAAAGTATTTCAGTAGATTTGATTTTTTGCAAGGCTTTTACCAGCAGGAACTGTCCATTAAATCGCAAGCTTACTCTGCTTCCACGACCCCCCATGGACTTTTTCAATTGAAACGCCAGCCTTTGGGAATAAAAAATGGCTCATCCTCTTTTTCCCGAGCCCTGAATAGAGTGTTTGCTGATTTGCTCTGGTATGGTGTCATAATTTATGATGATGATTTGATTATTTATTCTGACTCGGAAGCTGAACATTTAAGATTGTTAAAAATTGTTTTTCAACGTCTCAAAGATCATTATCTTCGCCTTAAGACTCAAAAAAGCAAAGTTTTTTATAATTATATTGATATTCTTGGTTTTTATATATCTGAAAATACAATGTCTCCCTCTGAGAAAAATCTTGAGCCAATTCTAAAAGCGAAACCTCCAAAATCCCTGAAAGAACTGCATAGTTTTCTAGGTTCGTGTACTTTTTATAGGTCTTTTATTTATGGATTTGCCAAAATATGTGCATCATTGTACAACTTGTTAAAATTGGAAAACCAACCCTTTCAGTTAACCTCAGAAGCAGAAAACGCTTTCAAAACCCTTTAGAAAGCTTTCCTTTCAAGGCCGGTTTTGTATACTTTTGATGAATCTAAAGAAATAGATTTGATTGTTGATTCTTCGAAAATAGCCACCGGAGCCATCCTAGCTCAACGCCAGGATGATAAGAAATTGCACCCTGTAGGATTCTTTTCAAAAATCCTCCCACCATTAAAATCTTGGAGTGCTACAGAACTAGAACTTAGAGGTATTGTCACATCAGTTCAGCATTTTAAAGAATTTTTATATGGTCGTACATTTCGTATAACATCAGATCACAGATCACTTGAATATTTCAAAACTTTCGAGGATTCAACCTCAAGGTTGAACAAGCTTGTTGCTCAATTAGTAAATTATGACTTCATCATCAATTACGCTAAATGTTCATCCCCCGCCCTTAAAGCTGTGGACAACCTCTCTAGGTACCCAACTTCTTTTGAATCTGAATCCGTGAACTGCATGTTGATTAAGGAAACCGACACCCAAGGTATCGATATTGCAGAAATGTAAATGTCCGATGAGGAAATTAGACCGATAATTCATGCTTTTCAAAATCCTTCTGCTGCTAGCAATGAGTTAGCTTGGATATGAAGACGTTTCGTACTCAAAGAAAATATTCTATATCTACCAGTGTACTCTAAGTATGAAAAACATCTAGTTTTGTAGGTATGTCCCAAAAACTTTAAGGAAAAAAGTTCTTACATCCACCTATGATAGTTTGATAAATGGATCCCATTTTGGTTTTGCCCCCTGTTACGACAAGTTAAAGAAAAATTATTTTTGACCAACCATGAAAAATGATTTGCAAACTCACATAGCTCAGTGTATGAAATGTGCAGAAAACAAACCTGCAAAATCTAAGTACGGCTTACTTCAACCCATACCACCACCGTTGATTGGACGACCCTTTAGTCATATTATTATTCATTTTGCAAGACCTTTCCACAACTCTTCTGGTTTTAAATATGTTTTGATAGCTGTGTGCACCCTTCCTAAGTATGTTACTTCAGCCTGCACCCACAAAGATGATGCAAACAAAGTAGCAAAATTTTTGTACGAAAAAGTAATCTTAAAACATGGATTTTTCAGAAAATTCAGCAGCGATAGAGGGACCCATTTTGATAACCGGTTAATTCAGAGTATCTGCGCATTTCTAAAAATTGATAAACAACATTCCAGTGCTTATCATCCTCAAAGCCAAGGTCTAGTTGAGCGCTTCAACAAAACGTTCAAAACAGCATTAAGACATTACATAAATGACACTCTGTCAAATTGGTCTGCTTTAGTTGCCCCGATGACGTTTGCTTATAATTCCTCAAAACAAGCAACAACTGGTTTTTCTCCATTTTTCCTTTTACACGGTTATAAACCAGACACAGATATAACAGCTAGGTCTGCTTTAGTTGCCCCCATAACGTTTGCTTATAATTCCTCAAAACAAGCAACAACTGGTTTTTCTCCATTTTTCCTTTTACACGGTTATGAACCGGACACAGATATAACAGCTAATCTCCCAGAATCTGAACCTTGTGCTTTGCTTGAATCCATCAAAAGATTAATCGAAATCCGTAGCACAATCCCAGATATAATAAGGAATGCTCAGCTCAAAGACAAGGTCAGATATGATAGAAATCGCCTCCCATTTGTGTTCAAACCGGGTGATAAGGTAATGGTTACCAGAACTCCAAGTTAGAACCGCTGTACACGGGTCCACATACCGTTCTCTCCAAAGAATCCAAGGTCAATTATGTTGTAGAAATACCTATCAGAGGATGTTTGTCTCCTGATTTGTTGCATATCTCGAGATTAAAACCAGCACCAAAACCTGAAGCTGTTCAATCTGTTATCTTTACCAGGAAACGAACCCGCTCAATTTAATCTACACTTGAAATAATCTTGAAATGTGATGTTCGATAAAGCAAAGATAAACCTCAATGTGTAACCTCAATCTAATGTGATATTGATTTGATTGTATCAGAAATAATCTGCAATAATGTCTAAAATTTTGTGATACATTTTCCTATTTGTAATAAACCTTTTGTTATCAGATTAACTACCCTATTTTTTGAAATTATGTGTTTCAGAAAAGGAATGAGATTGCTGTAACCAGTATTATCTGATGGATGCCGTACAACACTGAAGGACAGTGAATGCATTTCACATGATCTCAACTCAGAGCACTTCCCTTGCCTACCTGGAAATAATCATCAAGAAATCATTCCGTCATCAGAATATAACTTTTTGTAACCAATTAATTTTAAGTCAAATTAATCAGTGATAATTAACTTTTTCCCAGGCTAAATGCTCATTCCTTTTGTTGTCCCACATCCATGCGCATAAATGTAACCCCTTTTGAATAGCACTTTCAGTTGTAAATCCTCGAAGGCTCCTATCACCCAAACCTACCAGCCAAGCTTTCTTTCTTTTTTTTTTGCCTTCCCCGTTGAAACTTTTTCAACGTTAGTGGTTCAAAGTGCGGGCGCACTTCTTACTAAGCAGGGGGGATGTCTCGACACCGCGACCATTTTCGAATATCCCGCTCGGAGGGATGGGTGAAAGAAGCGAGAGGGGATCGAGTGCTCAAGTGCAGCCATGTTGGGCCAAGCTAGTCAGCCGGGTCAGAGCAGTGGCATAGACCCGTGCTCACCACCTTTTTTTTCTTTTTTTCGTTTTAGTTCCTTTTTGAGTTCACTTTTGTTCAGTTGTTGAACTAAATGTTCTGTTTTTCGTGAATACACGATCTTGTTCGTATTTCGTTCGTCTTCTTTTATTCTTCGCTCTCCCGTTGCTGCACTTGCGGCAGAGCTCCCACAACAGAAGGCAAGAGGAAACTTTTGAATTTGAATGGGAGCCCCCATCGTGTGATACGTTGTTACAAAGAACATAACAAAAGTCAATTATTTGCGTTAATTGCAGGTTGCCATCTATCACCGTTTCGTCCAAACTGCAAGTCGAAAACCGGGTGAGCCTATGTGGAAGATGTGGAAAAATTCACCACATGCAGCTGAACCAATAACCGCGCTTCAATATTTGAATCAGAAAACGTGTTTAAGTCGGAATTTGACACTGAAATACCTGCAGAAATGAGAGAAAATCAGGGACTTTGCCCCCCTATTATCTCATAAACGGTTATACGGTTAACGGTTAAAACGGATTAAGCAACCTGAAATTTTAGTATGTGTAGAGGGTCATCCTAAGGATGGAAAATAACCTCACACGTACCCCAATTTTGAGGGCCCAAAAACGGGCGAATTTTGGCCCTTTTGTGCAAGGCTCTTTCAGTACCTTTTGTCCTGAATTTTACTACTCCCTGACCATGACCAACATTTAGAACTGTCTATGTTACAATTTTGTTTTACTATGTTCTGAAAAGAAGACTATTCAGTTCTTTCATCGCTTCTCCAGAGAAAACGTCGCAACAATGCTGGGCTAATTATCCAAAGGGCTCAGGGGTGGGCCACGAAACAGCTCTCTCAAAAATCTAAGTGTTAATAGTATGCAGAAGCTGCTACTGATATCAATTTGATGCACAACTATTTTATGTATTATTTATTGGTAAATTATGATAAAAATTAGATGAATTTGTATGCATTTGAACCCCTTTGTATTCCATGCGTTATCCTTCATGTACCTGAAAAGGTAGTCTAGTTATGAATTCCTGCTGTATATTTGCTACTTGATCCAGATCCAGAGTATCCTCTTGTCCATAATCAACATAGAACACTGTCACCATATTATTGCCAGGCTTATCAATTATCTGCGCTCGGAACCATCTAAAAAACAGACAAGTTTTGGAATTATAAAACTATTTCAGCTTTATTGACAAAAAAAGATTGAAAAAAACTCTGTACTGTTATAAGCAAGTGGATGATAAATAAACCATATGTAATAGCCCACTGGAAAAGGGATTTTGCAGGATTGAGCTGAG